AATGTGAAAACAGCAAAAGGGGAGGGAAGTGGCTTGAGAAAACAAAGCAAAACAGAAATTGGGCAGAACGTGCTGGTTATTCAGATGCATTATCAGAATATAGGAGACGGTCATTCCTGAGGTAGGGTTAAGACAAACGTGATCAATGGCTGGTGGAAACCGTGTGTATTTTGAAAGACAACAGGTGTTCAAACAATGAGAAGTGACCTCCTTTGCACCTGGGTTACAAAAGCTGCCTCTGTGTTTGTGGGAAAAAACACAGGATAATAATACAAATAAAAAACATCCTGCCTCTGGCTAGTTCCTTTTTATTCCTTTCTCACACTGGGCAGTTTTATTTATAGATAATAAGGCAGCCTATCAGAAACGCGGGCACACACACACACTCATTTCCTGGTGGAAGTGATGTTTATCTGATGGAGAATAGCCTTGGTCTCTGTATCAGCTGTTCTCTCTGGAATTCCACCCAGAGCGTGATGGACGGATGGCTCACATCCCGTTCAAACCACTTCACTAGCACAGTCTCAAGAAAATCTGTCAAGTAAGACTCATTTCCCAGCCAAAGGCTCCTCTGCTGTGTTACCGTAACAGCCTGGACAGAAGCCAGGCCACACCGCCACACTCTGTGCGGGGGCTCATCGCTGTCAGCTGTCAACGGTCACTGCTGTTAGGCTGATGGCTGTGTTAGGAGCCTCAGCTGCACACCCTGGAAAGAGCAGAGCCTTGACATCTGGGACACCCCCTGAGGCTCCTCTGAACCCCCGAACTGGGAACTCTGCTCACTGAGATGAGGATTTCGAGCAGACCCCCAGGCGGCCCCCGCAGCTGAGGGGACCCGCTGCCGCAGGGTAGAGTGTGGCCTCTGACGGGCCCAGGGCTTTGTGGACCTTGGGCGTCTAGTCCTTGTAACAGTCCCCGGAGGCCAGCGGCACGGTCCCCGGTCCAAGTTATAACGCGTCCTGGGCTTTGGGGGTCGGCTACAAGGAATCGTGAGAATGGGTGCGTGTCTCTGAACGCCAGAGGCCTACCCACTTCACTGTAATACTCACGAGTGGACAAAACGCATGTTTTACGTATTCCCAGTTACGTGGGACAATGTGAGAAGCAGCACCTCATCAAGTTGCTTCTGTACAGACAGACGCCAGACCTACCGGGTAGCCTGTTACAGCAGAAAGTTCAATGCCGGGCATTTTCAAACACACCTCTCATGTAGGATCCATACCCGGCAGCACAGAAAATGCCTCCCCCATCTGTGCCGACAGAAGGCCTTCCGACTCCATTTGAACTGTGCCCATTGGACGGGGCTGGGCCAACCTTCGCTGGCTGCGGCCCCCGCCGGCTGGGCAGTGCGGAGAAGCCGCACCAGAGCCGGTGCCCGTCCTTTCGAGTGCACCTTCAGGTCCCCTGAAATCGCAGCGAGGCCACAGCAAGTCACTTTTCCCAGTCCAGTCCCCATGGTCATGGGCAAGCTCTGCCACGGCCTTGTGACGGGAGAGGCGGAGTGGGAGGAGGCCACCAGCAGGGCTCAGACACCGAGTTTTCAGAGAAGCATTTCAGGAACGGGATCGCCCTTCTAAGCACCCAGGGTCACACCCTCTGGGGTTCTAGCAGGCCCCACACTGTGCGCGACTAGCGGGTGTTCTCCACATGCAGGGAGGGCCCCAGGGCAGCAGTGTCACCAGAACGGCTTCAAGTCACGCTGTTAGGAAATGGAAGGGTTGGGATTGGGTGTCTGACAGCTCCCATTGTCCCCGAGCCTACTAAAGCACCCACTCGTTTTTAAAGGAACTATGGGCTTCTCATCCGCCCAATGACAATGTGACCTGCTTTCACGTGTCAGCAGAGTCCTCCAGCACCTTACAGAAGACGGCTCCCAAAGATGGAAGGACCATGGACGACCGACGCGGTCACCGAGCCAGGGCAGAAATCGGCTGTGAGACGGCCTCACCGCCACCCCTGCCCTTGAGGAAGGTCACAAAACTTCCTGTTGTTTAAGCTCTTTGACACTGAGTCTTCTATTACTTGCATTTGAAAATGTGCCAATGTATAGCGAGTGCTCTATTTCCCGAGGGCTTTCGCATTTGGGAACGTTAACTTCAGTGAGTAGGAATAGCTGGGGTCACGTTTCCCCCCAAGAACTTTGTAAATGTCGCTACTTGTTCATCTGACACTGACGGGGTCACCCATGCCACTGCGGGGACCTGTTGCCATTTCTCCTGCAAGCTGATCAACATGTCCTGGACACCGCTGTCCTCTATCAGTGTTTTCTGGACCAGAATGAGAACTTACGGTCTGCAGATACAACTCTTTTACTTCGGAAACGTGCCCTTCCATCTTAGAAAAAAATTGACGTTAGGGGTCTCGCTTTCAGGAATATCAACAGACCTTTTTCTCACGGGTTCAATGCCTCAGTCTTGCTCTCACAGGCCTTGGGATCGACAGCTCTCCTCCCGAGTCAGCGGCTCAGGCTGCGCCTACTCTGCCTCTCGGTGTCCCTGCCCTGGACGCCCTATGGGACTATTTCTAACTTTCACCTGGTTTCCTTTGTCACAGGACCTTCTCCCACTTCCCACTATGTTGTTTTATAGTCTCTTCCGGCTGTTATTCTATTGTTTTTATCACCTTACTCCACTACACAAAACACACGTATAAAGTGTTCTGTTGGGTCACAGTTTCCTCCACCCCAGGCTCCTCACCCGTCTCAACCACCCTACCATCCTCATTCCCCCCTTTCAGTGAAGTCTCGGGTCTGAATGCTAAATATGCTGCTTTTCGCTTAGTAATTTTTAACATGGGTTGCTCTTTGCAAATTTTCTACTTGTGAAATGTAATGTGAGCGAGTTCTCCTTGTATCTGAACAGGGTTGCCCACTGGGTTATTGCAATTTTATCTGCCTTGCACCCCGTGAGGTAAGAACGGATCCGCTGGGTCTGTGTCAGGTCCGAAAGTCCGGCAAACCCTTTACTACCACGCCCTTGCCCTTGCCAAGCGCGCATCCGATTCCTCTGGCAAAACGCCCTGCAACTTTTGACGCTTTGCCTCCATTCACTGCCGGGCCCAGAACACGGCAGACCCTGGTGATTTCCAGGCTCCTGTCCAGGCCTGCGGCGGCAGGGACCCGTTCCTACGGACAACGGTTTTATCTCCCTGGGGTTTCCCGGTGGCTTGTTTATTCTACTTTACACTTGCTTACTTGTTTACCCTACCCTTTCAGCTGACTTCATAGATTGGCATCCTCTTTGTAGTAGAATTATGAGTGAGAATTCTTAGTATGTTGCCTGCTTGGTTTCCTTCCCAGGAGGGATGTACTGGAGGGGGTGGGTGGATGTGGGTACCGTTATGCAGTGCAGGACAGTTTATCCAATCTGCGGCATGAAGTCGTACTCAATTTTTTGTTTGGTGGCTCCTTTATTTTTGGCTTGTTTTTACTCTTCTGTTCATTGCATTACTAACTGTGGGACAGAGGCTCTGTGACCCAGACTGCGTCACTTCTATGTGGTAGTCCTTGCTCTTTTGACTAACTGCATTTGTTCTGAATATGTTTCTATATGAATTGCAGGATATAAAATTTGCAAATAAATCTCAACTGTTGCACATATGTGTGTCTCGAATGTATGTTTGTGATACCGTCCTTCCTGTCAGTCAGCGGGGTGACTGCTCGGCTCGCTGCCTGCTGAGCAGCCCGGCGCCAAGGAGGAGACCAGAGTCACATACGGTAACTGTGCTGTTCACTCAGCTTTTATTGAATGCAGGGTCGCTCAGAGTAGAACATCAATGTACATTAGTATCCCACTCTAGCAATCTAAGAGGAATATAACACACACACACACACATCAGCGGGGGATAAGGAACCCGAGTCCCAGAGTCTCAGTCTGCGGGTCCAGGAGACAGAATGGTGAGAAGGGAATCATCGGTGTCTTGCAAGGAAGGATCTCCGAAGCCAGGTGGCCGGTGGGGCAGGCGGAGTCCTCTGTCCAGCAGGGCAGAGGCTGCAGTGGCTGACGTCAAGGGAGACCCGCATGGCTTGGAGCAGCCCTCTGGGGTGTGGAGCTTGGCTGTTTCAGCCCTGGTCTGGAACCTGCCTCAGTTATACCTTGGAAGTGACGTCTTCCGCCCTTCAGGGTCTCTTGGTAAATGTCTTGGCACCACAATGCCAAGCATGGACTTTGCCCAGGACCCTCTGGGTGGTACATGGCTGTTCTGCTGGACGCCCCTGCTCTGACCACGTGTGTAGGTATCTTAAGTGTCTTCTGGCCAGCGTGTCTGCTCTGACTTAACATAGCTTCCTGCTTGGACCAAAGTGTCATGGCTGACTGGCTGCCATTTTAGTTGACATGAGTAACTCCACTTCGTTTTATAGTCTTCATACTACCTTAATCGGACCAATGCCATTTTATTGGTCCTGCTCTCCACAGTATGAAGGAGAAAGGACAAAGAAAACAATGGGAGTGACTTGCTCATTCACAAGGCACTGGCAGCTTCACTTTCATTTTGCCCCAGAAGGGCAGCGTCGGCGTCTACTCTGCCCTGAACACCCAGCCTAAGTCGGCTCCTGGCCCAGAGCAGAGGGCCGGTGACTCTAAACCAAGGAACGACTGTTACCTCGCTTTACAGATGGGGAGACTGAGGCCACAGCATTCGAGGCCTTGTCCAGGACTACATTTCATAAGATGATGAAAACGGGGCAGCAAACAGCGGTGGATGGGACCTGGGGCCTCCGGAGAACGCTCGCGGGGCGGGTCCAGCGGGAGATCGATCCCTCCCACCTGCTCGGGAGCGCTTCTTCTTCAACTGCTAGCCGCCGGCGCAGGAGGGGCTGCCCGGGCCTCCGGTATCAGGCTTGGTTGCCACGGAAACAGAAGACGGAGGCGCAGGCGCGTTGCGCACAGCGGGGGCGGGGCGCGCATCCGGCAGGAGCCCGAGAGAAAGGGCACTGCGCAGGCGTAGCGCCTCCGTTGCTAGGTTCCGGCTTGCGGCCACAGTCAGGTTCCAGAGACTGGGGTAGCGCAGAGAACCATCTCATCCCGCTGTCTGTGCTTGCGCATCCCTGGCTGGCACCTTTCCTTGGCCACAGTGCTAGGATCTCCCAGACACCTGCTGCTCCTTCCAGAAGGACCACTTCCTTAGCGCCTCTGGTGGGGTCCTGAGACCTGCAACCCTGCAGGTCTTTTGGAGGGCGAAAGAAGAGGTTCCCCGCGGGCGAGGGAAAGAGGAAAAGTAGCCAACCATGTCGAACATGTAAGTGATGGGCTGCTGGGCCACAGCCAAAGTGTGGTCTTCTCCAGACCAAAAGATGGCTTATTGCGCTTTGCTTTTTTCTTCTTTTCTTCTCCCACTTCCTTTTCTTTCGTTATACATTATAATAAATAAAGATACTTCACAAGCTAGAGTATCATCTTCTCCTGGACGAGGAATGTCAGACACTCAGATCTTCCTCCTCCCCCTCACACTGCCTCCTCCAGGCCCCCTGCGGTGCCCCCTGGCCCTGCTCATGTATTTTGGAGGAAGCAGAACCTCACAGCCCGTCGCCTGCTTTTGTGTTAGCAGTTTGCAGTACTATATGCTTGCTTTGTGAAAGCACCCAGGTTCCAGTATTACGTCAAGAAAGGTCTTGAAGAAGCGATATTATACCCCCTGCTTTGCCCGAAGAGACACCAGGCAGGTGGCAGCAAGAAGGGCATTGACCTCGCCCTGGACCCCGCACTTGCGCAGCAGTGATCTCACTGCCTTGAAATAGAACGACTTTCAATCTCACGACACCCCTTTAATGGAGGAGCTGCGACATTATGTCCATTTTACAGATGAGGAAACTTAGGCACCAAGAAGCCAAGCAGCTCGTTAGTGGCAAGGCGGGCCCTGTAGCTCAGCCTGCACCTTCGCTAGGCAGGGAAATGGGAGTGGAGAGGTTAAGGGCCTGCCGACGTTGGCAGCTGGGGGAGATGAGGCATCCAGTGCAGGAAGTGTTGGGTTGGAAGTGCCAACTGGCCATCAGACGGAGAGCAGGGAGGCACCTAGTGTCTGGTCTTGAGTTCGCAAGAGAGGCCTGTGTATGGAATAGAAACTGAGAGCTGTTGGTGTGTGGGTGGTCTTCATGAGGCACGGAATGAGTGTAGACAGAGGGAGAAGAGGTCCAAGGGCTTGGCCTTGGCTCCTCCGACAGTAAGAGGTTGGGGACAAAAGCAGAAAATAACAAAGAGGTCACAGACGCGGTCAGTGGGGAAGAAGCAAAATCGTGGTGTCCTGGAAGCCAGGTTAAAAAAAACACGTTCTTCGGAGGGAGTAACGGACTCTCTGAAATGTTGCTGGAGACAAGTCCCAGCAGAACTGGGAACTGACCATTGATTTGGCAGTGTGGCGTCTGGCGGTGACCTTGACCTTTATTGGAGCGATGGAATGGAAAGATTGAGTTGAGTGAGGGCAGGAGAGAAACCGTAGACAGTGAGTGCAGCTAACTTTGTGAAGGAGTTTTGCTGTAGTTGGTGGCAGGGAAATGAGACCCAGAGACAGACTTTTTTTTTAAAGACAAGGGACAATGGCCTTTTTGTATTCAGGGGGAATGGCCCTTGGACAAGGAAAGGGGATGCTCTGGCCAGAGCAGGGAGACGCTGGTGCCGTCCATGTTGGGGAGGGCACAGGACCCAGCTCCAGGCCTTGGCTGCAGATGGAGGGCGATTATCGCAGGCCCCGGGTGGGCAGAGTGGAGGCCCTGCGGACAGGCAGTTCCGAGGGTGGGCGTGGGGGGCGGGGCGGGAAAGAAGGTGCAGACGGTAGATGTAGACAAAGGCAACACTGAGGGATGCGGGCAGCACCTCCTGATGAAATGAGGTTCAAAGCCGGGGAGCGTTGGGGGCAGGGCCGGAAGGGGCAACAGGATCCAGGCAGGCCCTTGACCCCCCCCCACCGGTGACAGAAAGGGAGCCTCCCTGGGAGGACTGCTGTGTCCTCAGGTGGCAGCCGGGCCTCCCTCCTAACAAACGGGCTGAGGGAACATTCCAGAAGGAGAGTGAACAGCCGGACGATACTGGGAAAGTGGAAGGCTTAGTGTGCGTAACGCAGCTTGGTGAGCACTCCCGCTTTGCCACGTTCCGGTTTTCTGTGGAAGTCCGCGGCCTGTCTGAGCGCTCTGGGCCCGCACCCCCCACCCCCACTGCTGTTCAGGAGAGTGGCCCGGGCTTCGCGTGCAGGAATCTGGTCTTTCTCAACTGTCACATGCGGTCTCCTCCACCCACAGTCCTCCTGACTTCAGTCTCTGTAACGTTTTTGGGTCGAATGCTGAAGTCTGAAACCAATCATGTACTTAAAAAATGCTAAGTAGTCTCATGGATAAAATAGTACCTTCTCCTTACAAGGCACACTTAGAATTGCCAGAGCACTTCCACATCTGTTATCCCCTCCGCAGTGATCCCGTGGTGTGTCCGGGGCGGGCGCCGCATCCAGCTTGAGGAAGCCGAGGCTTGGGGGCTGAGCGAACTGCCCACGACCAGCTACCTCAGGAGGCGGGTCCTGACATCACACGAGGAGCCTTTGCCTTTAAAGACCACCTGGCCGTGCCCAGGAGGAATAAAAACACATGTCCGCACAAAAGCCATATGGAAATGCTCACGGCAGCGTCGTTCACAACAGCCAAGAGGCAGGACACCCCACGTGTCCGGCCACGGAGACATGGGCACCGAAAATGCAGTGGAATGGTAGTCGGCAATAGAAAGGAGCGAGGTGCAGATGGATGCTGCGCCACGGGCGAGACCCGAGCACACGAGGGAGGGCGAGGAGTGGGCACAAGGACCACCTGTTGTGCGGTTGGACGTAAGTGTCGTGCCCAGAGCAGATAGACAGAGACAGATGGACTGGTGGTTGCCTGGGGTGGGGGGCGTGCCCAGGGGCACACCAGGCAAGACTGCGGCCAGGGGCTGAGTTTCTTTCTGGAGTGGAGAAAACGTTCCAAAATCAGATCCACGGGAAAGTTGCCCAGCCCTGGCAACGAGCTAAAACCCACCGAGGTGCCCACTTTGAAAGGGCGCATTTATGATTCGGGGATTCTCTTGTTAAGAAGTTGTCTTGCCACGTCCCTCATCCAAAGTGACCTTTGCGGGTGTCCAGGGTGCTGCGACCTCAGGGCAGCAAGGCGGGCTGGGGCTCCAGTGTGATGGGGGCTTTGAGTGAGGTGGGGGCCGCACGGGCTGGCCTGGCCAAGGCCCAGTGTCTGGGCACCTGGCAGCCCAGGAGATGGAGGGGTCGTGATCAGTGGGAGCACGTGGGAAGTGCCGAAGACAAAGTCAGCCTCCAGGGTAAGGGGTATGATGCAGGGGTCAGCGTGCTCAAACAGCCCCTAATATTAATATATTCCCATCAGCCAATGAGCTTCGCTTGGTCTCTCCGAGAAGGGTCCCCCGAGAGACAGCAGGTGAGGGAGCACAGGCCACGGCCCACCAAAGGCAGGGCCCGGAAGACTCAAGCCACCAGAAAGGTCTCTGGCCAGAAGTTCCAGTGCCGGGCCAGCTCCTCCAGGGCCTGAAGGGGCTTCTGCACCTCCGAGCCCCAGCGGGAGCTGCACAGGCCCTGAGTGGGGGCAGTGAGGCCCTGCCGGGGTCTGCTCCAAGTGAAGGCAGCCTCGGTTCTAGGTGGGTTCCACTCTGGTCCCTGGCTGGCACTTTCCCAGGGAAGCCTTCTGTACCCCCAGGCCCTGTGCTATTGATGGGTTTGCAGCTCTGTGGGGTTCAGGTCACGCCACCAGCCCCCTGTGGAGGCAGCCTGCCCAGCGGTTGCACAACCCTGATGCCGATGGGTGTGCGAAGTGCTTTGATGTCTGATAAGATGCCCTTTATCTTTCAGGGTCGGCTCTACCCCCACGTGGGGAGATGTGACTGAAGTTATTTATAGAGTCTGCACTGCATTATTACCAGATTCTTGGTAATATTAAGTCTGCACGTCGGTCTCGGGAGTCTGCTTTCTTTACATCTCATCTCTGCAGGCAGGGGCGGATATTGCCTTCTGCCGACTCTGAACTTCTGCCACTGGCATTCTAGAATTTTCTTCAGCTCTGCTCTGGGTTTTATCTACGTCTTGCTACTTTGCTGCACTAACGGACTTACACTTTGTTACCGATTTCCTTGGATTTTGCCGTGGAGTCATTCACAAGCAGTTTTTAAGTTCTTTCATATCCATCCGTTACCCCTTTCCCCTTCCGTTTTTCTGGGGGTATTTCCAGTGTTTCTCTAGTGAAATTACTCTTGGTCTCTGGATTTCAGCATTCCGCATCACCCCCCTCTGTCCTTTGGCGTGCGTAGGTAACACTCTCCATCGGGCTGGTGTCGTAAATTAAAGTTTATTGAGCATCTTCCCAGTATCTGCGGAAACGATCTCCGGTTTGTACTGTCCTGTTTCTGAGTTCAGTTCAGCGATGAGTGGGACTCTCCTAAATTCCCGAGACGGCCCCCCTCGGTCGCAGGGAATGGTTCTTTTGATCTGGCGCCGTGTTCTGTTTGCTGAGTGGAATTTCAGATCCAAGTTTAAACAAAATGAGCCTGTAATTTTCTTCCATAGAGTTGTCTTGACAGGTTTAGTCCCTAAACCCGACTCAGTCCACAGGGCGAGCGCCGGTTCTTCTGTTTTATGTGAACCTGTGTTGAGCCGGTTGGAATGCACGGCCTGCGGCCCGGCGGGTCAGCGGGCGCCTGGGGCCACCGCCCCCTCCCGGATGCTGGAAGCCTGGGCCTCCCTGGCGGGCATTTGCTAAGCCTCTGCCTGTCTTCTGCTCCAAAGTGCATCTGGCCCCTGCTCTTCTCTGCGGCCTCCCCGCCTCCCCGGTTTGTTTGTCTTTTTGAGCCGTGACAAGCAGAATTGCTGAAACGCCCCCCGGCACCGTGACCAGGAGGTGACTCTGTTGCTCTTCTCTGGGGCCGTTCCTGGTAAAGAGCCCTTGTTTCGGGTCATCTGTAGGCCCAGAACGGGGTTCCCTAGGCTCAAGGACAGCCTAACTTTCTGACAGTCCCCTTCACTTTTCCGGCGGGTGTGGCTAGCAGAGCACTCCTGTCCGGCACTCTTGTTGGAGATGCGTCTAGGTTTGGAGAAATCTGGTTCCTGAGCACAGCGGGCAGAGCACGGGGCGGGGGGGGGGGGAGCAGTCCGTGCACAAACTACCCGACCTGTGGGGCGGGCGGGGGAGGAAAAGTGGGGCGTGTGGGGCTACGGGTCTTCGTGTCTCTGGTGTCCGACACATCCCGGCCACACAGTGCGTTCTCCCCCCATCGCTTTGGCAAGAGCTTCACTCGTATGTGTTGCGATGCCGGGGCTGCTTCTGTTTTCGGTGGAGGCAGGGGTGGCTCAGTGTTGAGCAGTGGTCCGGGCTTATGTCACACAGACCTGGGTTCAAGCCCCCTACCTGCCAACTCAGGGGCAAGCCGTCTCCTTCTCCCAATTTCGGGAGGGCGGTGATAGGAGCCCCTTTTCGTGGACTGTCACTGGGATACCTGTTGGACAAAGGTGATGTGTGGTCAATGGCTCAGTGAGGCTCACAACTTCTTGCTCCCAGGAGGGTGTGGCGAGTGGTAACGAAGGGCCCTGGGGGCCAGAGCAGAGCAGGGAGAGGGGGTGCCTGGGAGCGACCCCTGGGAATGACCTCGGGGAGGGGCGAGGGGCGCCCGTGGCAACAGCTGGATCAGAGAAGCACGTTTACCGCCACCTCCTCCCGAATCGCCTCCAGCCAATAGCAGGTGAAAGGGCTGTAAACACCCGAGGGCCAAGAGGACACGGGAGTGTGTGACAAGGGTTGTCACAAAAATGTAGGAGCAGGGAAAGGAGACCGAGGAGGAGGAAGAGGCAGGTCAGAGACCCTGGTGCCAAGGCTGGAGGGCAGGGAAGGGAAGGCACCGCCCTGGGAGGGGGCGGGGAGGTCTGGTCCTTCTGGGCTGGGCTGGAGGGGTGAGGACTGGCTGGAGGTCTGTAATGGGGACCTGTCCACCCCAGGATCCAAGCAAGGAGGCGCATGCAGGCGGCCTGGGGACACCAGGCACAGGGGAGGGGGACAAGGAGAGGCTGCCCGTGAAGAGGAAGTGAGAGCCCTCGGCCCTTTGCCAGCAGGGAGTTGGAGCTGCCCACACAGCCTGGGGAGACCCAGCAAGTGAAGCCGACATTCTCGGGTGGCCCTGGTCCCCCGGTGGTGGCTGGGGCCCTGCCCGCCCTCTCACACCCCGGTGGTGCCCACTGGCAGATAAGCCCCTCCCCAGACACGGTGAACTTCGTTAGCTTTTTTTCAGTGAGGCTCAGTTCTTACATATGTAAAAGAGCCAAAATCACCCAGTATTTGTATAAAAAGTCTCCGCCATTCATGGCAGAGTCCCATTAGGAAAAGAATGGCGCACCCAGCAGTGGGGACTGATGAAGGGACCGAGTGACAGAGGTGTGAGCTGCGTGCAGGGGAGCCGCCTGGGGTGGTGGGGTGTCCCGGGGTTGGGAAGGCTGGGCCGTCGCCAGCCTGAGCCTCCCGTAGAAGGGGGCAGCCAACCACGTGCCCACACACCAGGGGTCGGGGGAGAGGGCAGACCCCCACCCCAGCCCCCTCTGCTAGTTCCCGTGGGCTCCTGCCTGGGGTCTCGGCCCCCTGGAGCGCCCAGAGCCACCCTCCATTATGTCTGAGGTCCCTGGTGGGCGCTTAGAGCTGTGGTCACTCACGGTCACTGCCATGCAGCGTTGGTGACCACAGCCCACTCTACTTGCTCGTTCTCTTGTGGACGGACACCTGGGTCACCTCCAGGTTTCTGTTGTCGTGAACACCTGTTTCTGTGGCCATTCTTGGTACCGGTTCCTGAGCGTTTCTCTGGGGTGTACCGGTTCCTCGGTAGGGACACACGGGTTCGACTTCACAGGACCGTCCGGAACCGCTTTCCAGAGTGGTCGATCGGTTTGTCCTCACCAGCTCTAGCTTCGGACAGATCAGCTGACTGGTCTGCCCATCGGCTTCAGAACTGGCTCTGCCGGTATAGCCGGGATCCCCTTTGCACCATTTAGGTGAAAGGCTTTCTGAGCTCTTTATTCGGTGGTGGCGGCAGGGGTCACACACAGAAATCACAGGCCCCGAGGGACAGCAGGCAGCGTCTGAGCTCCCAGCTGGTGACGCATCACCCTGGCGGCCCCAGACGCCAGCCCGCGTGCCCACAGAGGGGTTTCGAAACGCTCATCGCGCGGCCTGAACTCTGTCTTTTCCAGAATGTACAATCAGATGTGGCGTCAGACCCAGGAAGCCCTCAATTCCTTGCTCGACAAAGAGTCTCAGAAGAGGGCGGAGCCTCCCAGAAGTGAAGTGTTCATCTTCCAGATGTTAGCCACCTTCTACATCAAGTACGTGCAGATCTTCAGGAACCTGGAGGACGCCTACGACCAGATGGTGCACCCGCAGAAGCGCACGCTCATCCGGAAGGTCCTGGACGGGGTGATGGGCCGCATCCTGGAGCTGAAGAATGAGATGGTGGAGCTGGAACTGGGCGAGTTTCACTATTTTGACAATATCTTACAGGACCTAAAGTTGACTCCCGTAAGTACCTGGTTTTCTTGTGTCTTTTTGGGGTAAATGAGATGGGTAGTCCTGTAACCACTGCTCTGCGGGCAGCGGAGACACGTTTATTAGTTGTTCGCTGTATCGGAAGTTGACGCACAGCCCCCCGGCAGACTGTACTGCTAGGGCCGTGGCTGAGGGGCCCTCATTTTGGGCACAGATGAATCTTTACAGGCTTTGGGTCTGCCGGACACTGAGGTCACTGTGATTTTGATGGTCACCGTGGCGTCTCCCCAGGCGTCCTTTGTGTCTGGCCTGCAGGTGCTCCGTCTCCTGCGTAGCCTGCGGCTCCCTGGGGCCAGCACCCAGCTACTGGTATCACGTGCCCAGCACCACTGGCTGCAGCCGACTGGTTCAGGGACAGGCCCCCAGGCAGCTGTGGCACCGGCACTTCCCTGAGAGATCTGACCTGGGACAGGGGGGGAGACCGGCTGGCTTCTGTCTCCAGGTCTGGGGTCTCACTCCTGAGCCCCTTGTCAGTGGGTGGAGACCACTCAGCAGGCTCTCAGGACACTGGTGGAAACTGCCCTTTAGAGAAGAGAGAGGAGAGACGAAGCAGGCTCCCGGAGGAGCACAGATAAGTGGCAGAGCCCCCTCTGCGTCCAGACATGTCCCTGCTACGGATGGACACTCGGCTGTGTCCCTGCCCTGGCTCCACAAGCTCCCCAGCCCTGCCATCGGGGTTCCCTTGTGGCTAAACTAGCCAGAGGGCCGTTTCCGGAAGCTGCCACATCAGGAGCCTTCCCTGATAGGTCCCTCCAGCGCAGACATACGTGTGGGGGAGAGTTGCTCCACCCCCAGAAGTCTCCTCAGTTCCACGTGCGGAGACCAGAACCCCCAGGGTCTGTGGGGGCCTGGAGGCAAGCCTGGGGTGCCAGCCCCCGTCTTCCCCTCTGGTCCACGCCCAGTCGCCCGGTTGGCCCCAAACCCTGACTGCGGTTTTACGGGCCCAAACGGACCCGGTGGAGCCACGTCCAAGGTCTTGTCTTGAAGTTTAGTTAGTGTAGCACCTGCACATGCTCGTCCGTAAGTGGGTCACAGCGTCACTGCGAGTGGGGCTGTCCCCCAGGCTGCCCTTTGTCCCCCGGCCACACACCCCGTGGGAATCTGAGCTCAGCTCACCCGGGCACGCCATCAGCCTAAGAAAGGCTTGGATTTCAAAACCATCCCGCCTCCCAGAAGTCCCGGGGGTACCACCCCACGGAGCCCTCCCAGAGGTACCCTTCATGCGGTAATGCTTATACAAGGAACTGATTTCCTTTTGAAATTCCTGGTTGGGGAGGAAGGTGTGGGGAGTCACATTGGAGTGGGAAAAAGGACAGCTGACCCTGGGCACCGGTCAGCTGGTCTACCAGCAGGCAGCCAGGAGGGCCCGAGGGCACTGGGCAGCGTGTCTCGTGGGCTGGTCAGGGGCCCGCTCGGACCTTTCCTAGCCTTGTGCGCCTCCAGTTACTGAACCCCGGCTGGTGAGTAGCCATTTGACATCTGCTAATTGGAACTGTTTGGTGATATATACAGCGAAGAATGGAAGTTTAGATTTATTGTATAAAAAACAAGTTTCCTGATAAAGCAAATTCATTTTGTAAGTACGTTTTGTAATGGGGCAATTCAGATAAAAACAAACCAATTACTAGAAAAAATAGGACCATTGTAAACAAAATTGGATGGTGCTAATGATAAATTACTAGGTTTAATTCGACAATCTCTACAGCTCCATCCTTCACTATTCTAATTGGCATTATTATTCTAAGTAGACTGAGATGATGATATATTTCTTTGAAGAACTTCATTAAGTTACCATTAGTTGATGGAAGCCTACGTGACGTGAGTTATTAAAGTGTTACTGTGACCATTAAACAGGGCGCAGCCACGGTTTTTCTCTGGACTCCATGGGATGGGTCTCACCCATCCCCTGCTGTCTCTTAAATGGAGAGTTAGTTCTGTCGTGTTCTCACCATGTGTTTTGATTGGGTTTGGGTCCTGGAATAGCCACCAAAATGGTCTTTACGTGTTTTTCCTCTTTCTTTAGCAACAACTAGACATTCCCATACCCAAGTATTTTTTGAAGGAGAAGGTGGAAGTTATAAAGGAAAGAGAGAAGATCCTTGCTCAGATACTGGTGGACTCCGGAGTAGGCCGACCTGAAGTGGTTTGTATATCCTTTTAGCAGAGACGATGCCTTAGTCCATAGAATCTGCCTTTCCACTCCGGAATGAGAGGACACTGGGTTCCTTCCCGTGTGAGAGAGCAGCACCTTCCCCCTCGTTACTCAGTATAGACGCTTTTGGTGACTCATGTCCATGATTTGTCAAGAACTTAGACACGGAGGCCAAAGGGCAGTTCCCTGCTGGTGGCCGGCATGTCCAGGGCTGTGTGGATTGTCAGGTCCGGGTAGTGTCCGGTCACAGACTTGCCCCCCGGAGAAGCAGCCCACGGCTGCTCATGTGAGACAGTTGAGGGCCTGCTCAGAACTCCAAGATGACGACACTTTCTTAGAAGGCCAGTTGACATTTCATGACATCAGTTTGAGTGACACGGGAATATCCGCAAGGGGACTGTCTTGAGCGAGGACAGAGAAGTCCTCAAAGACCCCTCTGGAAAGCAGAGAGCGTCTGGCCCTCCAGACCCACACAGCTGCCCAGTGGTCACCGAGGCTCCTGGTCAGCGAGACCCGTGGCTTCTGGGTGGCGGCCCTGGGTGTCCAGGTGACTTCTGCATGCTCTTTGGGGTCTCACCGCACCCCACTGTCCCCTCAGCTGCTTGTTTCTTGAAAGTACATGTGGGGTGTAGCCCAGTATCTGCCCTTGCACTTGGGATGCCCGGCTTTTCCTCCGGGGGCCTCCGCCAGTGCGGGAAATCTCCGAGCCTCCGGAGGGAGCCGGGAAGGACTGGGATTGTTCCCAGAGCGACAGTGCGGAACTGCCAGGAAGTAAACAGTGATGGCTCACGCTCGAGGGCCACCTGCTCTCTGCCCGAGTGCCCTCGCACACGTCCGCTGACCTGACACCCGAACAGCATTCGCTCTGCTCTGCTGTGCCTTGTGATGTGCCTTGTAGAAATGGGTGCGTGCCGCGGATGTGAGGGGCAAAGCCTCCCCAAACACAGAGCTCTGACTTTGGCACGGTCATGTTCGCCCGGTCATCCTGTCAGTGGTGACCCATCAGCACTGTACATCACGTGTGCTTTACGTTCAAATTCTCGAGTTAGAAATGTGCGTGTAATTTATGTTTACGCGCTTCTGTTGGTTCATGAAACACGGATAGCCATTTTGAGTTTCACCGACCCGTTCCATTGGCAGTCCCAGTGGTTTGGTGCCAACCCAAGATGCGGAGCTAATTAGTGTCTCGTCTGGACTGGTGGTATGCGCTGCAGGGGTCCTTAGACAGGGGACAGCAGTGTGAGCTTATGTCCTGCCGAAACGCATACCGCTCGTGGGCAAACAGTGGGCACTGAGCAGCCGAGAACCCCCTTCATCAACATCGGGGAACTGAGAGTTTGGGTTGGAGGGAAGCGTGTGCTGTTTCTGTGGTCCACTGGTGGAGGTCAGTGTGCAAACCTTGATTCATCTCAAATTTCCAGGAGAAATCCCCGGCCAGGACTATGCCCCTGGAAGAGGCCGTGAAAGCCATCCAGACTGCGGAGCGGGCGCGGCAAGGCCGCCTGAGGGCGCTGTTCATGAAGCACATCTTCCTTCAAGAGTTCAAAGCCGTGCAATCCCGGATCCTGGGCGAGAGAGTAGCGGATGTGGGGGCTGCCGCCCTGCGTATCCAGAAGGTGAGGCGGGAAGGGGGTTCCGGGCTTGGGGGCCCAGGCGTCGGATGCAGCCGGGGATGCGTGTCCCAGGGTGTGGTCAGCTCACGGCTCAGAATTCCGGAGCCCTGCGTCCAGGAGGATGGGATCGGTTTTCTCACCCTGGGGAAGCTGTTAATTCAGCTTGGCCGCGTCTGTTAACCTTTATTGTAGATAGGTATGAAGCACAAGGCATTTTCTTCCCGTTTTTTAAGTCATTGATAATTATCGGAAAGATAACTTGCTGCTGACAACTCAGAGAGGCTGTACATCCTCGATGAATTTTTTAAAATCCATTTGCACACGGCGTGCAGTTACAGGAGGGTTAGCGCCTGCTAGCTCACGGATGTGTGCACACCCACGCAGAATCCCCGCGACCACCGCCAGTGGGCGGAATCAGATGAGCACCGCTGGTTTACTCCCCATCTTTTTTCAAATAAATACTGCGTCGCTCCCAGGGAAGTGCGGAGCATGGCCTGTGGCAAACTAGAATTAGGCTGGAGCGGGCGTGACGTGGGAGCAGGGAGGTCAGGACCCTTGTCCGTCCTGGCAGCGAGGGGGCCAGGGGGCAGGGCTGACAGCGGGGGCGGGGCTGACCGGAGACCAGTCTGTGTGTAGAGGTGAGGTTGCAAGCCAGCACTGGAGGTCCCAGCTGAGCCGTACAAGCCGATGTGTTCTTTTCCCCCCGTGCGACTGCAGGAATTTTACTTTTAAAACCGCGAATTGACACCCTCATATCTACCGCCACACTCTTTTCAATCTGGGACAAGGGTCCACTTCAGCGTCCCCAGGTGTCAGAGAGCGGGATGGGCCATTGCTGGGATTTGTTCTTTCTGTAGAAATGTCGCCTCTGATCCCGGAAGGAAGTGGAGGAAGGAAGTGGACTCCGTCAGCCTCGCCCGCGCAGGCAGCACGCCAGGTCGTGTGGCAGTTCCCGTGGTCGTGTTTGCGTTACCTCCTTATGTACAGACCAGTAACCGTTTCTTTGTTCACAGGTTTGGCGAGGTTTCCGTCAGTGTAAGAGAACCAAGCTGGAGAGGGAAGAGGAGATGGTGTTCCTGGGGATGGTGAGTTTTCTTCCACACACAGTGTGCACCTGCTTTTCTCAGACAGGGGGCCCCATGAGGTGTGAGTCTTCCTCAGTCCCTGACGCAGCCGGTGGGTCGGGGAGACCCCAGCTGTGCTGCAGGGAAGCCTGGCAGGGACCTGGGGAGAGCGGCACTGTGCCGCCTGCACAGCCCCGTGCGCCTCGCGCGCCCCCCAAAGGTGGGGGTGGCCCGAGATGCTCAGAATCCCACCGGCCATCAGTGGTGGTCATGAGAACAGGCTGCCCTGGCAGAGCTGCCGTGTGGGGGTGGTGACCAAAGCAGAGTCTCGAGGGCGCGTTAGTCACACACGCCTGTGGAACAAATCACCGCCGACCTGGCAGCTGGCCCCTGTGATTCCCGCCGCCGAGCTCAGGAGGCTGTACTTGGCTGGGACCTCTGCCCACTGTCTGACGGACAAGGGTGGGCCGGCATGGGGTCCCCCCTGCGGCCCGGCAGGGGAAAGGCCTGCTCCCAGGAATGTGTGGTCATTGGCAGGGTTCAGCTCCCAGGGGCTGTTGGACGGAGCCTCGGTTTGGGCCCGTCATTAGCATGGGGGCCTCTCTTCATGCGATTGTCCACCAAAGCCAGCCAGGTCCTGCCGAGGGCCACGGGAGCGGTACACCTCACCTTCGCCCTCCTCAGCCGGTGAGACACAGGTCACAGGGTCACCTGCACCAGGCAGCAGAGGGCGTGAGCACCAGGAGGTGGCAGTCCTTGGGGGCTGTCTCGGAGTCTGTCTGTGCTGGGGCGTGTTCTCGGTCCCCTCCCTCTGCATCCCTCCTGAGCCGAGGGGAGACCCCTGCTTCCCAGGGCAGCCCACGCTGTTCACTGTGGACGCTTCTTCCTGACATTCAACCACAGTCACCTCCCTGCAGTTTCGACAGACTGGCTGGGCTTCTGTCCCCGTGGGAACTCGGGGTGCGTCTAGTCCCCCTTTCTCACCACAGCCCTGCAGCCATTGCGAGACAGCTCTGAGTCTCCTCCTCTTCAAGGCTCATCGCCGTCAGAGAGGGCCGCCACCACGGGGGACTTGTTGGGTGACCTGCTCAGCTCTCATCAAGGGACGTAGCAATTTAGAAAGAAAAGGAAAGAAAGCCCACGGAACCTGTTACAGTGCCCAGCAGGGGTGTGTGGGCGTGAGCCAGGCCCACCACTCATTTTCCAGCTGGGGCCTCCTGTTGTCAAGGGTTTGTAGGATTTAAAGACTCATGGGGTGGAGTATTATTCGGTCATGAAAAAGGAGGCAGTCCTGACACAGGCTACAACATGGGTGATCTTGGAGGATGTTCTACCAGGTGGAATAAGCCAGTCGCAAAGAGACAGAGGCCGTGTCACTCTAAAGGAGTCACACTCACAGAAACAGGAGTGGAATGTGGTTGCCGGGGGTTGGGGGGAGGGGCGGGCAGCTGTGTGCCTGGGGTTCAGTTTCAGTTCTGCCAAATGGAGAGTTTCAGTGGCCTGCTGGGCAACACCGTGACTACACTTAGCCCGACTGAGCCCTGGACTTAAAAGCCGCTGATGAATTTTGGTGTGTGTCTTTTATCACAATCAACATGTTTTAATTCACTGGGACCGTGACCTGTGTCCTGAGGTGGTTCCTGTACATCATGGCTGCTCACTAATGCCCCAAAATACAGATGAACAGTTAAATGAGAAGCACTATTTCATGGAATCTGAGAGGTTATTGATTGTAAGGTGTGTCATGATTTTTATTTGCCTTTAAAATATATATATTTGGTCAAAGAAACCAAAACCCACCCTTGATTGTAATAAGCATCCATCCCTAATTTCAGACACATTAAACCGAAAAAGCTGCATCTTGGGACTGGCGAACTAGGGCGAGCGGCTCCGGTTTCCAGCTATAACTATGGACAAGCGTGTGACGCATGCCTGCTCTCACACGCGGTGCGTTGGGTGGGTTCAGCCGTTCCAAGTGACCGTTAGCTGCCACTCGGCCATTACAGTCTTTATAGTCGTCACCCCCGGTTTCGTCATCAGAAATAGAGATCTACGTGATGCACACAGATTTTCCTTGGGTTCTTTTTAACAGTGAACACCTAGTGTTCAGAGTGGCAAACGCAGTTAAACTGACTCACGATGGAGGCCTCCATACACGTGGCAACATGCCACCGCCAGGAACACATGTTTATGACATGACAACACCCAGAGTGAAAATACAATTTAGAATGATCTGTACAATGTGATTTCAACCAAACACACGCAAACATCCGTTCACGTGCAAACAAAAGAAACACCCAGTTCAGTGCTCACTCTTGAACGTGGGGCCTCTGGAAGGTTTTTTTCTTGTCCATAATTGTCTGCATTTTCCAGAGTGTTTGAATGTTGCTTCATTAGCTGGAAAAACAATACACACCTAAAGATAAAAGTAAGCAGCCATAGCATACGATCGGCGTCTTCTCCTAAGACCCCCACGCTGCGCGGGGTCCGTGCAGAGGCAGCCAGGCCGCCGCGCTGCGCTGCTTTTAGGTGCCGCCCTCGCAAAGCTCACAGATATGAGACGCCATGATAAGAGCAGTGTCTGTCTCCAAGTCTCTGCCTTCAGCGCTGAACTCGGAGTCCGAAGACTCACTCTGGATAACCCAAGCCGAACGTGAAGTCTGCTGTTAGCAGCTGCTTTCATTCAGCAGCCCCCGAGTACTTGAACCCCGCCCTCGTTTACTGGCTGTCTGTTATGTTCACACGCCAGGAACTAGAGGCCGGCCGAGCAGTGTTTTTTCATCATCAAGTCTTAATATCTTACATGGATGCCACATAAAGATAGAATGGCGTGTGTTTTATTTTGATTTTCCTGTTTTACTTTGTCATTTCACTCTGCTCGGCTCCAATAAAAAAAGTGCCCACTCGTTTTTCAGCAAAGCTGAGTTTGGATAGTATAGAATGACTTGTCTGTTTTCTATTAAATGTGACTTTCTCTCAGTCTTCGTGGCCTATTGAAATTTTACACCATTGTGAAGTGTATGGATTCAATTTATAGAGAATGGTATCTTCTGTTCACTGGCTGATAACCGTAAAAATCCATTATTCCAAACCCAAGAAATGTCTTCAGCGAATGTGTTTCCCCTCTATCACTGATTAAGATACTGTCCGCCCGTTTGGAAGCGTGGGTCTCCATCCTCTCCCCCGGCACTGACCGTGCGGTTGTGGAAACCGTTGACCGGAACTGTCTTCGAATCTGCCTGAGGAGCTCGGCATGTTTCCAGGGGCGACCATGTAGTGCCTGAAAGCGGAATGAGAGCAAGAGACCTCATCATGCCCTCAGTTCCCGGCACAACGTTTTTCTCGCCCCTGGCGGCACCAGTGGGGTGGGCCCAGCAGAAGGGAACGGAATGGATGAGATGCGTTTTGTGCCCTGGGTCCCTTTGCAGTCCGCTGTTCCACAGTCCCCGCCGTCGCATGTTCTGTGTTACCCTGAAGCCATCAATGTTTGCATTGTAATGGACACCGGGCTCGCTGATTCCTGAGAAAGAGCTGTCACTCTGAAACGCATCGATGGTACCCGCAAAGCGCCGCAGAACCCTGCTCAGGCCCAGACCCGAGCAGGAGACAAGCTGTGCGCTAGGTTATTTTGGGGTCAATAAGTGAGACTTCTTCCTTACTAACAAATCACCCCACTAGGAGCTTGGGCACCCGGTGCACTCCCTCCAAGGCGGCTTCCCACGCCCTCAGCCCCCCCCCAGGCTCCTCCTTGGAGGGGCTGCCGGAGCCAAGATGAGCGGAGAACCGAAACCTTGGTATGGCCACACTTGAATGTCAACCGAAAGCCACGCCATACAGCCTGGTCACGTGTGTTGGCTGTTACATTTGGCTCCAAATAACGTCGTTTGGTTGTTTCTAGGAATAAATGTATTCTCAATAAAACAACTGCCGTGATCTGGGGAGGGTTTGTTTTGCTCTGTTTTAGATTTTCAATGCCACAGGGCCACCCCCCAATTGTCCCGGAGAGAGGTGGTGTCCCAGAGAGAAGTGAGGGTACGTCTGCACCCCTAGCCCTGAAGTCTTTGCTGTCCATGTCTGTGAAGAACCAGGATTGAGGGGGTCAGCTGGGGACGTGTGCCTGGCTTTGCTGCAGGGGCCACTGCAGGACTTGGAGTGACAGGCCCTGCCACCCTCCTTGTCTTGGCTTCTCCTGTTAAAAGCAGGCTGGCGCTGCCTGTTTGGAAGAGCATTAAAAGAGGAGGGGATGATACACCTTCAAGGAATGGTGGCTGAGTTCATCATCTTGGAAGAATACAGTGTGTTGTCATGACAACTGGATGATTTCCTGCAACAGCAAGCTGTCAAGAAGTGGGATAACTTTTCTGTGTGGCAAAACACGAACTACTTCAAAGCAGGCCACTGGTTTCAAAATAGAAAATATCCCGGCCTTCGTCATTCGGATTCATCAGCAGTGCGGTTGGAGCAGCTCACCGCCTCCATCGAAGGTACAGCCGCCCGGGGAGATCTGGCGAGCCCCACGGTCGCAGGTGCCGGCCACACACCAGGAACATGCGCAGACCGCCAGCCTGGCCAGGTGTGCAGGCCACAGACGGGCCCAGCATGGGGCTGAGCTCCGGGAGGACCGAGCCCTCTTTGTGACTTCAAAAGCCCACCCTCCTCAGGAGGTTTGGGGGAAAGAGGAAAAGTCACAGGTTTGTTTTGGGTTTTGTTTTTTCCTGTTAACTGGAATTTTACAATCTAGTGATGTAGGAAGTTTAGTTTGATAAGGTTTTTTTATTATTACTGTTGCTTTGCTTCATTCTTGTCCCAGATGTCCAGGTCATCAGAAAGTAAATGATGAAAAGCATTCCCTCCCTCTTGTCTCCTGATCCCAGATTCCCAGACCTGCGCCCTCACGCAGGACGTCTGCCCTGGTTTATCTCGGATGAGGGCCCAGGCCAGAGCCCTTGAAAATGACATGAAGAGCGGTGGGGGCCCTGAACTCCGGCGGCCCTCACTCTGGGTGAACTCGGGTGGTGCCT